ACGTCTTTATTTTTATCAGCGTATAACTTTTACAGACAATCAAATTTTGGAGCAAATTTGAGACATTAAAATTAAACATAAATATTTCATACAAATAGGCCAGATGCTAACTTGGCTTAGCCATAAAGCTAATAAGGTTATCTGAGAATATTTATGGTGATAGGTTTAATATATGTAAAGGTTAGCCAAAAATGTAGCCAAATAGCTCCTAGTAAACCATTGTGAAAACTGCGAAAGTGTGTATTACGTGGTTATAGAGAAATGCTACCAAAAAATAGCTAAAAGCAGCTAAATGTTGGAAATATGATTTGTTTCCCTAAAAATTGGTCAAATTAACCTTAAAAAACAAAGGTCAATTTTCAGTCCTGGTTTCCTGGAAAATGTGCTGATGACAGTTGTGCTTTGTATTGTGTTTTTCCTCGAAACCGGATCTTTATCACAATTAGATGTTGTTTCTTTGGCGGTGGACCAGGTACAGAAGTTGCAAAAAAAAAACAAAGAATCTCAATGGCTGATTCTCAAATCTTTGGAACAGGGACAGAACCAAACGCAGCAGTTAGGTTAACATGCCGTGACAAACCTTGGTCTGGAGGGTTGGGGTCCCAGGCTGCCCACAGCTGGACTATGAAGAAGGGTGACCAGCATATGGTGTAGACCAGCACTATGACCAAAGTCATCCTCACTGTCTTGGACATGGCTTTAGTGATGCTGGGAGGAGGGGCCGCCGGAGGGTTGGCGGGAGCGTAGTCAATGGAGCAGCGGGGTGACTCTGAGGTCACCTCGTATGACGTGAACGTCTCCTGGCCATCGGAGCTGGTCAGTGGTTGCTGCTGTGACGGTGTTGACGATGCTGTTGTTGTTACACTCTCACCACAGCAACTGTTGTACTGAATAGCGGGCGGTGCGTGATCGTAGCACTCACCCACTTGGCTGTTGTGCATGTTATTGTGAGGAATGTTATTCGCACCCTTCAGCAGCTGAGCTCCTCTCCCCTCCCTCCCCCCATTTCCGGAGGCCTTTCTTCCTCTCTCCTTGCTCCTGTCGTCCTCCTTCTTTAGTCGCTGGAAGCGGAAAGAGATGTCGTTCTTCTTCATCTCGGCCGTCACCATCCTCTCCGACTTCAGGTAGATGTTGTTGTGAATCTCTCTGAAGATTCTTATCTGAGGGAAGACAACAACGTCATATGTTCACACAGTTCGACAGAAGTGAGAGGAGACATTCCTCTGCTCACAGATTTGAGGGTCTCAGGATCAGGTGTTATGACCGGCACGTGCCACATTCAGAAGCCTGTTTGAACTCGTAAAGGTTATCATTTCTCAAACTCGGAGCAGCTGCAGCGGGAATAGGAAATTTAATGTGCGGTCTTCAGCCTTCACCATGAATTAGTCGTAGACCTTTTTACGGCCTTTATAAATATGTCTTCTCCACAACAGGAATGAGGATGTTTTGACTTGAGGAATGTAAAACAAACATTTATTGTCTGATTTGTTCCTGTTTTATTGATTTTTGAGTGTTGCTGACTAGTGTTACTTCCTAAATCACCTACTAAAATGAATTTGTCAGACAGTTTCCATAGTAGCAAAATAAAACAAACTAAAATAAGCGCCTGCACAAAGTCACAATAAAACGCACACTTAACGCCTAACGTGATAATTATGATCATTATGTCAGGTTGATACTACATAATTACAATATAATATTTAATGATTAACAGTGTTCATTTATTCTTCTTATTTCACTTGATCCCTCTCTGGGTCACGGTGCGTCACCGGGCGAGGGCGGGGCAGCTCACCAGTGCACTGCAGAGTCACCGTAACCATTTACCTTCACACCGAGTGTCACCCAGTTTTGGACCGTGAGAGGAAAACGTGTATAGAACTAAGAACTTGCAAAGAACTTAACAAAGTTCAGAAAGATCGAGAATTGAACCAGCAAACTGCTTTAAGGCGAGATAATGCTAAAGATAATATATAAATACAATAAAAGAAAAGTTCACTAATGTGTTAAAGAATGTTAAAGAATGTAATATTCATAGGAGCTTTAATGAATGTACCATATTTTCCAGACTATAAGTCAGACTTTTATTATATATAAACTCTGGTGCGACTTATTGGTTATTTTCACACTGACAGCAGCTAGAGGGCACTCTATCTGGCTGGTGTGACTTATATATGGGTTTTTTCTTCTTCATTATGCATTGTTAGTCTGCTGCGACTTATACTCCAGAGCAAATTGTAGTCTGGTAAGATATAGTCGATGTCGAACTTGAAAGGTCTACTGAGCAGAGGTATAAGCCTGTAATGTGTGAATGTGGCCACGCCCTGTAACCATGGTAACGCCCTGAAGTTTAATTCAAAGTTGATCTTTCAAATTCACTCTCATTTTAAATAAGTAGGTCTTCAGGGAAAAGGTTAAGACTGTCACTTATAGAAAACCCTGTCATGTCTCCTCCTCCAGGCTCTGCTGCCAGCTCTTTCTGTAATCAGCCTGACTGCCTCCACCTGCCTCCACCTGCCTCCACCTGCCTCTGTGCCAGTATCTCTGTCTTGTAATCAACCTCACCTCACGCACCTGTTCTCCTTTGTCTTCCTCTGTCCTGTGATTGGATGATGTGATCCACCTGTACCCTGTGTATAAATACTCACTCCCTGCTCAGAGCTGGTTTGTTACGTCTCTGGGGTTTGAGTGCTTGGGAGGGGGTTTTTTTTGTTTGTTTTTTTTTGTTTGTTTTTTTTACGTGCGTGTGTGTGTGTTTTCTCAGTATACATTGTCTGATGTATTTCTTTGTGTTTATTTGATGTTTTCTGTTGACTGTTAGCTGTTAGCTCCTCTGGGTTCCTCCTAAAACCCTGTCACCTGAGAAAACAGTTTGTTGACACTGCATGTGTCACTGTGTGTCACTGTGTGCGTTGCATTTAGGTTGGATAATGACAGAAATGTCTAAAACCATAAAACAAGTTTTTAAATTAAGGGAGATTAATTGCTTAATCCAACAAAATAAGCAAAATATTTTAACAAAATGTATCAGCGTGTGACGTGTTGTCAACACTGTGTTGAGGTTTAAAGAAAAATTTCAAAAACACATCCAATCAAGATACATTCAGTGTGGAACTAAAGTGTGTGAAACCAAAGCCTTGCAGAGGTTTGACCAAGACCAAAATAAAAAACAATGTTCTTTTCTAATATGATGTGACCCAGACTGACGTCTGGAGAACGTTTTGGACCGAGTACACATTGATTTCGTGTGTGAACGCTAACATGGAGTGAAACTAGTTTTGCCGTGCAGCTAATACTGTGTAATAACTGCGAGAAATGTCCTCAAAATTAGGGTCTGGACCAAGTTCGTCCAACATGTTCGTCCCAAGTTCTTCTATAAAATGACCAGAATTGACTCTCGACTTGAAGTTTATAAAATCTGAAGGAGTTTTTCCAAAGAGACATGATCCCAGATAAGAAGAATTCCTATCCTTTTATAAAAACAACTTAATAAAGATATTATATGATTAGACGTTCCACAAATCCACAAGAGCATTCCTACGTCAGTCTACTGACTTAGTTCTTGTTAAGAAGAAGTACTTTGTGGCTTTGACGTTTAAAACTGGTATTTCATGGCCACAAATTAACATATTATTTTCCGTTTGTCGTGATAAAGGGCTACTGACGTCTGGAATTTATTGGAATTTTTCTTCACATGCCACAGGGTTAACATTAACATTATTTTTTACTGTACTCTTACCACAGTGGAGCAGCAGGCTGCTAATGTAAAAAAGAAACAAACAATGGAGAAAATGTCAATGGTTAGAATTGTTTACAGTTTGTTGTTTTTTGTTTTTTTCCTCTGCATCTGTTTGTTTTTCTGGTGACACTTGTGTTTAGATAGTCACCTGTGTCCACTTGTTCCAATTTGGCCTGTGTTTCCCCGTCTCTCTGTCACTTTGTTTACCCCGTTGTCATCACATTACATTGGATCCCTTGTTACCTGTGTTCTGGTAGACAGTTGTGTTTTGATAGACAGGATTTTTTTTTTTTTTTGGCAACATTTGGTTTGCTTTTACTATTTGTTTAATTGAACGATGGTTTGGTTACATTTCAATTAGCAGGCTAACATGATTAGCAGCTAATGCTTTTGGTGGTGGTTGGTTCCACTTCTGTCAATGAAAGATTGCATTGTTAATTCTTTGGTCACTTCATACTTTCTAAACCTATGGCTCTATCTGATTTTTAATTATTTTTCCCAAAATTGAAAGAACGTTTGAACAGAACACGTTTTTATTCCTCGGACGAGGCAAAAACGCAGATCGTGACCCGCTGTGAAAACTATTATTTCTACAAAGATGGAATTCTTTGATGGAAACACTGCTAGGAAAAATTAATTCAGCTTCATCATTTTCATTTCTTTTATGTTCTTTGAACTTAATTGTGATTAAGTGAGATTCAACCACGTGCCGATCCTGAGCCTTGTTGGGGAAAAAAAGGATGACGAAACGAATGAACTTATTTCTGTCTCCATATTCATCTCATTTGTCGCACATTCAGGTTGGAGGTTGAACACACGTTATGAATATAAAGAGTCAGGTGTATGAAATAGATGTGTCTGGTTCTGAGTATCACCTTATTGTGCATCTGTTTATTTAACCTGCACCAAAGACCAACAGATTGTAAAAATATTCATTTTAGAGATTCTACACGAGGCTTTTTCACATGACTTTTCCAGGAAAAAAAGGAATTTCATTTTTTTTTAAAATCTGTTTTGACAAAGCTGGGGCACATTCTGTCTTGTGGCAGGCGGTCAGTGCAGTGGCCAGCACTCTTCTCAGCAGTAG